CTCTTGCTACAATCCCATGAGATTTAGTAAGGAGCTAAATCCCTGAAGAAGCCACCTCCATAAATGACAAGATCATGGAAATTATGCCTGTCTTACTGTATAAAGAACTAGAGGAATTGAGAAAAGGGTGAGCTAGAAAATAACAGTGCAATGTGCATTCCAAGCAAATTCACTAATGAATTTTAACTTTAATGATCTGTAGTTATGATATCTTAAGGCTTGCAATTAAATGAGGAGGAATTACGCAGTTTATTGAGAAGTGCTCAAAACATTGCAGTGATTATCATTTTTTTAAAAAAGAGTGGCAAATTGCCATGTGCAGCATGTCATTTCAAAATGTGTCTGGAGTCTTAGGGCCCTTCCAGACAGACCCTATGTCTCTGGATCTGATCCCAGGTTTTCTGTATATCCCAGATTATCTGGCAGTGTGGACTCATATAATCCAGTTTAAAGCAGAAAACCTAGAATGAGATCCTGGGATATAGGGCCTGTCTGGAAGGGCCCTTAGAAGTTTGGCTACCCTATGTTCTCTGACAAATAGACCTTGAATTTGTTTGGAGGTTCTAGCAGAGAAGCACAGCCATCATTTATCCTTGACTGAAGGATGGCACATTTCTTCTATCTGAGGCTGTCATCCTGTCCAACTGAATGTGCAGCCTTGGGAGGAATGCAAATGGAGCAGTGAGGACACCTACCTAGACAGCTAGATCAGCTGAATCATGAGTGGGGTCAGAAGAGTGAAAGAAATCACAATTGGATTGCTCTCACATCCACAGTGATTGGGATTTTGGAAGACGGAAAAAAGATGACCAGAATCTTATTCTAGCTCTTATTCTTAGGCTATGACAATAAATTTATTATACCATCCAACCTAAATTCCACTTACTTCATAATAAATATGGTTCAGTTTTTGGGGTTGAATTGCTGCTGTTTTTGGGGCTTGTATACTTTCAGAACTATAAACAAGCAAGGCAAGTTAAAAAGAGTGACTGATTGGGATGGCAATTGGCAATAGTAACAAGCCAACGCTGCTTTCTTTGACATCTAATGTATGAAGGTGTTACACCAACAAGCCATCTTTTCCCCTTTCCATAGGGAACTGTTTTGAATAATATATTGCCAGACGAAAAGTTTATCTGTCATTTATATAATAATAAAGTCCTCTATTAAATGCATGGATTTGAGTCCTGGGCCCATCTAATACTGTTTTCCACAGCAGCTGGATAGATTTATTTATTTATTTGATACACTTGTATACCGCTAATATCTCAGCCTAGAACGGCGACTCATTGCGGTTTACAGCAGTTAAAACAATCTACAATTTAAAAACATATACACATATAATAACAAATTCAATAACAAATTATTGGGCCACCAATAATAATCCCATATATCTCGAGTTGAAATCGCAATCCAGAATTCGTTGTCCATGTTTCCTGTCCTTAGTCATCAATATTCGAATTGCCACAGATTAGCCGAATGCTTGTTTGAACAGCCATGTTTTGAGTCTCTTCCTAAACACCATCAGCGAAGAGGCTGATCGTACCTCTATAGGGAGGGTGTTCCAAAGCCGGGGGGCCACCACAGAGAAGGCCCTATCTCTCGTTCCCGCCAGCCGCACTTCTGAAGCTGGAGGGATAGAGAGAAGGGACTCTCCGGAAGATCTTAGGGTCCTGGTGGGCTGATAGGCTGAGATACGTTCGGATAGATAAGTTGGGCCAGAACCGTTTAGGGCTTTAAAGGCCAATGCCAGCACTTTGAATTGAGCCCGGTAGCATATCGGCAGCCAGTGGAGCTGGTTCAGCAAGGGAGTTGTATGCTCCCTGCACCCCGCTCCTGTTAGAATCATGGCTGCCGCCCGTTGGACTAACTGGAGCTTCCGGACTGTCTTCAAAGGCAACCCCACGTAGAGAGCGTTGCAGTAATCAAGGCGAGATGTAACCAGAGCGTGGACTACCGTGGCTAAGTCAGACTTCCCAAGGTACGGTCGCAGTTGGCGCACAAGTTTTAACTGTGCGAAGGCTCCCCTGGTCACCGCCGAAACCTGGGGTTCCAGGCTCAGCGATGAATCCAGGATCACCCCCAAACTGCGAACCTGTGTCTTCAGGGGGAGTGCGACCCCGTCTAACACAGGCTGTAAACCTATACCCTGTTCGGCCTTACGACTAACCAGGAGTACCTCTGTCTTGTCTGGATTCAATTTCAATTTGTTCGCCCCCATCCAGACCGTCACAGCGGCCAAGCACCGGTTCAGGACCTCGACAGCCTCCTTAGTAGCAGGAAAAAAGGAGTGACAGAGTTGGACATCATCTGCGTACAGATGACATCGCACCGGAAACTCCGGATGATCTCGCCCAGCGGCTTCATGTAGATGTTAAACAACATGGGAGACAGTATTGAACCCTGAGGAACCCCACAAGACAAAGGTTGTGGGGTTGAACAGGAGTCTCCCAGTAACACCATCTGAGACCGACCCTCGAGGAATGAGCGGAGCCACTGCAAAACAGTACCTCCAAGACCCATCCCCGCGAGGCGTCCCAGAAGGATACCGTGGTCGACGGTATCGAAGGCCGCTGAGAGGTCGAGCAGCACCAACAGGGACACACTCCCCCTGTCGAGCTCCCGACGCAGATCATCCACTAAGGCGACCAAGGCTGTCTCGGTACCATGCCCCGGCCTAAAGCCAGACTGTGCCGGGTCTAGATAATCCGTGTCTACCAAGAATGCCTGGAGTTGTGAGGCCACCACACGTTCCATGACTTTGCCCAAGAAGGGGAGATTGGAAACAGGCCGATAGTTGACGAATTGAGTGGGGTCCAATGATGGCTTCTTCAACAGCGGTTTTATTACAGCTTGCTTTAAGCTGGCTGGAATTTTGCCTTCCCGAAGGGAGGCATTCACCACCACCTTCACCCACTCGGCCAACCCCCCTCTGGCCTCCTTTAGAAGCCAGGATGGGCAGGGGTCTAGGATGCATGTGGTAGCTCTCATTCCTCCAAGCACCTTGTCCACATCCTCGGATTGAACCAATTGAAATGAATCCATCAAAACCGGACAAGCAGATGCTCGTGTTACATCCTCAGATACTGCCGTTAATATGGTATCCAGGCCAGAGCGGATCAAAGCGACTTTGTCTGCGAAGAACCGAGCAAAGCTTCGCAGCGAGCTGCCGAGTCATCAGGGCACCCATCCTGAGTGGTGGGTTTTAATAAGCCTCTGACAACTCGGAACAGTTCAGCCGGACGGTTCTTCGCAGACGCAATAGTGGCCGCGAAGAAAATTTTCTTTGCGGCCTTTATTGCCGCGGCATATGCCCTTAAAAAGGACACAAACCGTGTTCGGTTTGGCTCGCTCGGATCCGAACGCCACACGCTCTCTAGTTCCCTCTTCTTTCGCTTCAACGCCGCCAGCTCCTCAGTAAACCAAGGAGCTGGTTTGGCTCGGCTACTTGAGAGGGGACGTTCTGGAGCGATCGTGTCTATTGCCCTGGTCATCTCCCCATTCCAGAGAGCGACCAGGGCATCAACAGGATCACCAACCGCGGTGGCGGGAAAATCCCCAAGAGCCATCAGGAAACCATCCGGATCCATAAGCCTCCTGGGGCGGACCAATTTAATGGGTCCTCCACCTCTGCGGAGGTTAGGGGGTGCAGCAAGTCTAAAACTGACCAGGTGGTGGTCGGTCCATGGCAACGGAGAGATGGATAACTCCTCAACACTGCCACCTTCCTCCCATCCCTGACAGAAAACCAAGTCCAATGTATGTCCAGCACTGTGGGTGGGGCCAGATACTTGTTGGGACAGCCCCATGGTTGCCATGGTAGACATGAAGTCCTGAGCCGCTCCCGATGATGCGGACTCGGCGTGGATATTGAAGTCCCCCAGCACAAGCAGCCGTTGGGACTCCAACACCAGGTCCGAGACCACCCCCGCTAGCTCAGTCAGGGAGTCTGTAGTGCAGCGAGGTGGACGGTACACTAACAGAATCCCTAATCTGTCCCAGTCTCCCACCCTCAGGTGGACGCATTCAAATTTTGTTGACTGCGGGATGGGGGCCCTGGTCAGAAGAATGGTATCTCTATAGACCACTGCAACTCCGCCTCCCCGCCCTCCGGATCTCGGTTGGTGCTGCACAGAGAAACCTGGTGGGCAAAGCTGGGTTAAATTTACACCTCCTGCTTCGTCCAACCAGGTCTCTGTGATGCACGCCAGATCTGCCCGTTCATCCAGGATTAAATCTTGGATGAAAGTTGTTTTACCGTTGACAGATCTGGCGTTCAACAGCACCACTTTCAATCCGCTCTATAAGCTCTATAAGTTAAGCATAAACGTTACTTCCTTAATATAACTGCGGTTTCCTAGCACCAAGTAGTATTCACTGGTATATTGTCTTTAAACATGGAAGCTCTATTTGGGTTATCAGGCTGAAAAGGATATTGCTTATATTTACCAGCCATCGATGGTAACTGAAATCACAACCTTAGGATTTGCATTGTAGATTTGGAAGAAACCACAAGCACCATCCAGTCCGACCCTCTGCCAAGCAGGAATGCATAATCAAAGCACTTCTGACAGGCTTTCCAGCCTCTGTTTAAAAACCTCCAGGAAAGGAGACTCCACCACATTCAGAGGAAGCATATTTCACTGTCAAATAGCTTTTACCATCAGGAATTTTTTTCCTAATGTTTAGCTGGAATATGTTTTCCTGTAGTTTGAATCTGTCGTGCCATGTCTTAGTCCCTGGAGCAGCACTAAACAAGCTTGCTCCCTCTTCAATATGACATCCTTTCAAATATTTAAGCATCGTTCTCATGTCCCTTCTTAACCTTCTCTTCTCCAAACTAATCATACCTACTCCCTAAGCCACTCGTCATAGGGCTTGGCTTCAAACTGTTTACCATTTTGATTGCTCTTCTCTTGACATGTTCCAGTTTGTGATCACATATTATGTCATACATTCATTTTACTTTCTTTTTGGGAGTCCAGAGCAATCAAGTTTACCTGAATAGGTCTTCCATCTGGTGTGAGCACCTCCTCTGAGAGCTCCATCATCTTCAGGGCCATCAGGGCTATCGGCTTCGCATGATTCAGGTTCTGCCTATGGAGTCCCGCTGCAACACAATATGCATCACCTATTGTTTCCACCTGCAGCAATCAGACAAATCAAATGCCAACATTATGATAATGACCCAGAAATCACTACCATTAAATACCAGCAATCACTGAATGTTGCTTTAAACATGTCAGCACAACATTAATAAGAGAAGCTATTAGGCAACTGCACATAATTATCCCCCAGGTTTGCAAACAGGTATCATCAAATCCTGACATCTCACTGCAGTGTTTCTCCTGATAAGCAAGTGCAAAAATTAGTTACAGTCAAGGACACGTAGCACCAAGAGAGTTAGAACCGTGTTGTTCTAAAGGGGAACATATTTTCTGTATTAGGGGAAACTTCTGGAAATGAACCCATTTGGGGAAAGGATACTATTATGGCCTGTTCTGTGGTAGAGTGAGAAATGTAGGTATGTGTGCTTACATGATTTTTACTGTACTTTTTTATTATATATTGAGTCTGAATGCAATTAAAGCCCCAACATTAAGAACAGACTGAAAATGGGTTCTTGTAAGTTTTTTTTCGGGCTATATGGACATGTTCTAGAGGCATTCTCTCCTGACGTTTCGCCTGCATCTATGGCAAGAATCCTCACTGAAAATGTATAGAGATAATTTCTCACATTACTGTTGTTTTATATTAGGTTTTCATGTTTTATAAGGCACTGAATTTTGCTATAAATATGTTGGAAACCGCTTTGAGTCCTCCCAGGGGTGAGAAAACTGGTATATAAATCAAGTAAAAACAGAAATAATAAAGAGATCCCTAGGAGCTGCTTCTAGTAACTCTGAACTCATTGTTGACAAGACCAAATACTAACCATGATGTTCAAAGAGGCTGTTGTTAATATATGCCTTGAAGTGATTTATGGTGAATACAAGTCAATTCTATCATGGGGTTTTCTTAATAATATCTGCTCAGATATGGATTTTGATTGCCTTCTTCCTAGGCTTATGAGAGACAAGTATCTAGATCTAGTGTCTAGATCAAGGGAAGTCATGGTGCCTTTGTATTCTACTTTAGTTAGACCTCACCTGGAATACTGTGTCCAATTCTTGCCACTAAAAGAGATATTGACAAGCTGGAAGGTGTCCAGAGAAAGGTAACTAAAATGATTAAAGATCTGGAGACCATGCCTTATAAGGAGCATCTTAAAGACTGGGCATGTTTATCCTGCAGAAGAGAAGGTTGAGAGGAGACATGATAGCCATGCATAAATATGTGAAAGGGTGTCATAAGGAAGAGGAAGCAGGCTTGTTTTCTGCTGCCCTTGAAACTAGGACTTGAAGCAATGGGTTCAAATTACAGGAAAGGAGTTCTAAAATTAAGCATGGCGGCAGTTACGCCTTCAGACAGAAATTCAAAATCCAATTATCACAGGGACAGAAAGTGAGGTGAAATTTTCGGAATAAGGGCACAGACAGCAAAACAAACACCACCGGGTTGTTAAGCCTTCCCTATGTTATCCATATATGTATGTATGTATGCATGTATGTATGGCTGGAGCTGCACATAAAATGTACCTTAACAAACCTACAGAATCTATCTTGTTTATTTTAGACAGGGAGGGCAATTGTGGTCTGAAGATGATGTTTTCAACCCATAGGAACTATTATGAGCCATATAAGCTGTCAAAATGCTTCCCATCAAAGATATGTATCTCAACCTACATTCCAGGATTTCAGGTCAGTATACCCTAAAGAACAATATACTATCTGATCTTGGTAGCTAAACAGGGCTAGAAAAGCAGCATTGAACACCAGGTACCATAGACTATATTTCAGGGGAAGGAACTGGAAACAGGAGTGTTTATTTCCTAAGCAAACCCTATGAAATTCATGGAGCCATAAGTCAACAGGCAACTTGAAGGCACAAACAAACACACACAGTAAAATCAATTGAAATTGGTATTTTTAAAATGTTAAATGGCAGTGTGTTCAATGGAGGGTCCATGGCATTTTTAAAAGGCAAAATGCAGCTTTGGGGTTCTTCCAGAATCAATAATTGACACTTTATCTACATTGTTTTAGGGGCCAGCTGGGAATTTGCAGACCGGGGCGATAAAGAAATGGCTTTGGAGAGGTGCACATGCTTTCATTCAGGCACACTTTGCCCACTCCTGATTTAAGAGAGACAATGTATAGTTGTTCATTGTTATAAAAAATGTCAAATTCTCAGCTGCAACAATTTTAAATTCAAATTGTCTATTAAAGCTTTACAGGGAACCTACTGTGAGGCCAGGCTGCAATAACAGCATATTCCCTTGGCAGCTGCTCTTTTCAGCGTACCAAGCTTGTCTGATTTTTGCTGTAAGTGTGACCCCCTGTGATTATATTTTGATGCTTATTTCAAGTCAATTCTTTGAGGACAAAAAGAAGAACAAGAAGTAGAAATCCAGGCAGTACCAGTACATAATTTCGCTGTTTCACATTAAAGATTTCCTCTACTTTCAGTGTACTAGTCAATCATGGTTGGAAATCAAAATTGCACTCATATATGTGGAAAATATAATTGAGAAGCTTCACAATGTTTGTTTCCAGCAATTGGCTGTTATGATGTTACTACATTGGAGTGCCAATGAATTGACCATTGCATGTTGTGACTGTTGCACATTGGGCACTCCTAATGCCATCTAGACAATTCTATGGGCTGCTGTTGCACATTGGGACACTGTAGTCTATGTCCAAGTGCACATAGTGGCAATTCACTAGAAGGGTTACATAGCTAAGTATGCAAAGTGTTACAAATGCAGATCATTATACAGAACTAGCCGTCCCCTGCCATGCGTTGCTGTGGCCCAATCTGGTGATCTGGAAAATAAAGTAATTAGAAAGTGTTGGTTTCTAATATATGTTATTTCTTTATGCTTGTGGGTAAACAGTATTTTTTGTTGTTTCTTTGTCAGTGTTGATGTAGGGATTGTCTTACTGCAACATGCAACATATAATTGTCCTTCTTTAGGGGTCCCTTTCAAATCTATGATACTATATCTTTCATATACATATATATGTGTTTGTGTGTGAATCATATATATCTATCTATATCTATGGCTGGATGGCTCTTTGTCAGGAGGACTTTGATTATGTTTTCTTGCCCTGGTGAAGGGAGTTGGACTGGATGGCCTTAAGGTAGCACTTCTCAACCTGGGAGTCAGGACCCCTGGGCCGGGGGTCGCAAGTGAGTGCCAGAAGGGTTGCCAAAAACCATCAGAAACACGTAGCATTTTCTGTTGGTCATAGGGGTTCTGTGTGAGAAATTTGGCCCAATTCTATTGCTGATGGGTTTCAGAATGCTCTTTGATTGTAGGTGAACTATAAATCCTAGTAACTACGGTACAATTCCCAAATGTCAAGGTCTATTTTCCCCAAACTCCATCTGTGTTCATATGGAGTATTTGTGCTGAGTTTGGTCTAGATCCTTCATTGTTTAAATCCACAGAGCTCTCTGGATGTTGGTGAATTACAACTCCAAAACTCAAGTGCCCACCAAACCCTTCTAGTGTTTTCTGTTGGTCATGGGAGTCCTGTGTGCCAAGTTTGTTCAGTTTCATCATTGGTGGAGTTTAGAATGCTCTTTGAATGTAGGTAAAGTATAAATCCCAGCAACTACAGCTCACAAATGACAAAATCATTTTTTGTGTGATGGTCACTCCTTGGGTTAGTAGGTGTCTTGTGGCCAAATTTGGTGGCAATTAGTCCAACAGTTTTTGAGTTATGACGTCACTCAAAACGAACAGAGCATTTATATATAGATAGACTAGCAGTTCCCTGCCATGTGTTGCTGTGGCCCAGTCTGGTGATCTGGAGAATAAAGTAATGAGAAAGTGTTGGTTTCTAATATATGTAATTTCTTTATGCTTGTGGGTAAACAGTATTTCTTGCTGTTTCTTTGCCAGTGTTGATGTGGAGATTGTCTGGTTTGCCTACTCTGGAACATGCAACATATCATTGTCCTTCTTTAGTGGTCCATTTCAAATCTTTGATACTGTATCTGTCATATACATATATGTGTGTGAATGGCTGGATGGCCCTTTGTCAGGAGGGCTTTGATTATGTTTTCTTGCCCTGGTGAAGGGAGTTGGACTGGATGGGCTCAAGGCAGCATTTCTGAACCTGGAAAGTCAAGACCCTGGGGTCACCAGGGGGGTGTCAGAAGAATCACCCAAGACCACCAGAAAACACAGTATTTTCTATTGGTCATGGGGGTTCTGTGTGGGATGTTTGGCTCAATTCCATCATTGGTGGGATTTAGAATGCTCTTTTATGAACTATACAAGTTGATTTTTATTATGGGGGGGGGGGGGGTTGTCTACAGTAGCCTAAAGATCAGCTTTAATATAATAGGATGGGTTCTAAAGCATGAATCATAAAGTACTAAGCTACTTCTTTTGCTTTTTCACTCATGACAACACCAATACTATTGTTCTGAGCAGTGTACTGTCTTTTAGGGACAATGTGAGAACTGTCTCAGTGAATCACAGCTGGGATACTTAATGTTACAAAGATCTTGACATAACTGCATATTTTCTTGATTCTACTTTGCAAACCTTTAAAATTAAAATCGTGCTATGGGGAAGAAAGCTAGCCATGGGCTGATTCAGTGTGTCTTAAAACTTCATGAGCTTCTATTAACATAAATTAACTTTTTAGATTTCCTCTTATATATGCATTCGCATGCAAAGCATATCTTGGACTGGATTTGGATTTGTCCTACTTAGAAAAGATTCACTGAAATCAGTGAGACTTAACTGAGTCATGAGTAATGTAAATACCAATAATTTCACGGAGTCTGCTCTAAGCTTGCCTAGGTCTAGACCCATCCATTATATCTATATAAATTCAATTGCAAGCACACACACCAGAAGTTAATGGAGTCAGAAAAGGTCTTTATTTCTAGCTGTAACAAGCAGTACTGTTGTATTTTGTCCTAAATGCAAATGCCAAGAACTAAAGTAAGCCATACATTCAAATGTTCTCTCCACATAAATGCTAAAGTACTTTCAGTTTCCCTGAAGTGCAGCTGGTAACTG